AGCTGTGTAATTTTGATCGAATTGCTTACCAACAAATTTTCTCTCTTGTAAAATAAGAAAAATTATAACCATCTTGGATCATTGAGAGGACGACATAATGTAATATAACATTATGCCATGTAGTGTACATTCTTGATAAATATTAATGTTTAAGGTAGATGCAAATTATTTGTATTTTTTTATTACAGTTGGTATTTATAGAAAATTAGAAAGTGTAGGTAAATAAAATGAAGGCAATAGAAAGTATTATAACCCAGAATACCAAGATATTAAATATTAACATTTAAGTATATTTCCCCTTAGAAATATTCTCCTATAAAAATTTCTCTAAAATTCTTAATCATAGCCACATGATTATATGTGTATATGTATATCAAAGTGTATATATAGTTACTTAAAAATGGACTTGGGCCAGCTTCATGGCCTAGTGGTTAAGGAAACTGAAATTCACATGGATGACCACATAGTTTGAATCCTAGATCCAGTGACTTGAGAAACACACCAGTACATGAGGGGGCAAGTGCAAAATCCTAATAGAAAGGAGAGATGGAGGGGAAGGGCTTAGTAGGCATTAGCATGACCATCCCGATAGGAACTGCCTCCTCCTTTCCCCATTCCTCTGTCTCTGTCTCTCTCTGATGTACACATATATCCTCTAGCAAAACAAAAACAAAAACAAAAACAAAAACAAAAACTAGATTTACATTTATTTAACTAATTGCTTCGGTCAATAATGTTTTATGCATACTTGTGCTATGAAATATTCCTCTATAAGTATTGCATTTGTATTATTATTATTATTAGAAAATTTGCTGTAGGGTGCATGCTCTTGCCAGAGAGACAGAAACAGAAAACAAGAAATCACTCCCAGAGGGGATGGCCACACCACAATCCTTTCTCCTCTATTGTCCTCTTGGGCTTTTGAGCATTCATGCACACCTGTTTAACATGAGTTTTAAGCCTCTAGGTCTGGGACTTGAATCATGGTCGACTATGTGGGAGTCCTGGTACATAAATATTACTCCATCTGCTGGTCCCTCAATTAACCTTTTAATAGGCAACATCCGGCTAGTGTCTAAGGTTTTTGTGGGGTTTTTGTTTGTTTGTTTTTATTTCTTCTTACTGACTTAGGGATAAACAATTCTATATAGCTAAATACTTCACATTTATATAATTATTTCCTTATGATAAATCCAAAAGTGTAACCTGGAAATTTTAAGTGATAAGAAAGAAAAACAAATAAAGCATGAAAGCACAGAGTTTGGATGGCAATGAGTCCAGACTAAGTCATTCAATAAATGTCAAGGGTAGAGTATATAAGTATGTAATATAAGAAAGGAGAGAAATAGGTCTTATTTGGGATAGGCTTGCTGATTACCCTAAATATTTTAAATTTAAGAATATTTGGGGGTTCTAGTTTGTTTTGTAAATGCATATCATGTAAATAAATCAGTGTATTCAGTTTAAAGAAGTCAAGTTTATTTTGTGTTTCTGTTAAAATAAAATAAAATAAAGCCTGCCTCTCTAACTAAGGCGTATAACAAAAAATAATCCCAGACTAGAGCTGATTTATGTACCTATCTTTGGAGGATTTGGAGTGCCTTTTTTTTTCCCTTTACTACAGATTCTACCAGCTGCTGGTGAAACAATTATATCCACCAGCCTACTGCCTCTCCTACTGGGTTTAAATGCCCAGTCAGGGGCCCTCTTGGCAAAACTGGCTCTACAAGTGCCAGAAATGGAAATACACAGATGGCAGGCTATCCATGAAGAAACAATATTGACCTGCAGGCTGAAGTGCTTTTATGAAAAAGAGGTGGGGGAAAGTGACCCTTGCCCACTTGGTCATTGTGTGGGGTCTGTACTGAATGTGCTGAGCTACACAGCACAATGGCAATGCCAGGGAGAAGCTGCAAGAGTCTGGAATTACATAGGACAGTGAAATAGGCTGGGAGGAGACTGGCGCTCTGAGAACATACAGTTTGTCAAAACAAGGTGACCACTAAGCACCTCAGTGGATGGTGGCCACATGAGAAGGCAGGCCCAGAATCCCAGAGGTTCTGGTAGTCACAGGAAGCTAGAAACCTGGATTTTTTCATTCACATATTTCCACTTGCAAATGATATTGAAAAGTGGAGAATTATTTTTAATTTTATTTATTATCATTAAATTTTGACCAGAAATACAGAGAGGAAGAGTGAGAAAGCAAGCCTCCAGGTCTAGGACTTGAACTATGGTTGGCCATGTGGGAGTCCAGCATCTCAGCCACCACACAACCTGCTGGTCCCAAAAAATGGAGAATTAAATAAAAAGCAAAGCATTTATAGAGAGTGCAAGACAGAAGCTAGACATATTTGAATATTTTGTTCTGTTTTGTAGATTTGACGCTGGGTGCCAAATACACAGTTTACAAATCTATAGAAGAAAATTGAACTTAAAAAAAAAATCATGGGGTTGATCTTATAGAGAAGTAGTTAATCCCTGTGCATAGAGGGGCCAGATCCCACATGACCAACTGCCATGTCCTGGCAGCTCGAAAAACATGCTAGGCACATGTTTATGTACACCTAAAATCCTCATTGGATGGAGAAATTGAGGAAAAAGAATTGTGGCATGACCATAGCCCATTAAGAGGTTTACTCTCTCTCTTTTTTTTTCTGATTTTGATGGCTGCATGTGCCTCTGGCAATAATTTAAAAAAAAATAGAAAGAAAAAGGGGAAAAAAAAAAAGCAATGAAAAACTGAGAGAAAAGCACAATTAGACCTCTCTGGGTATTGGATCTGTGACATAACCATACAGAACAGAAATATTTCAAGTGACTTTTAAACTCAGTAATTTGCCTATACTTTCTTAGTAGACCATCTTGTATAGATTTTTTAAAACTGACACGTTTTAAGTTGTTTTCCAATAGTTATAATGTTAGTTCTGTAGGGGTATTTGCATTCTGAAATTATTTTGTATGTATCATGGGCTAAATCCAATGAATAATCATACTAGTGTTATCGAGATCAAAGTTTGGGTCCAGCAGTTAGCATAATGGCTATGTCGCTGGACTCCCATGTAGTCGACTGCGGTTTGAGTACTGGACCTGGTGGCTTAAACTCATGATGGGTGTGCGTGCATGCATGCCCAAGATCTCAAGAGGAGAATGGAGGAGAAGGGATTGCAGCGTGGCCATCCCCTCTGGGAGGTGATTTCTCGCTTTCTGTCGCTCTGTCCATCTCTGTCTTTTGGCAAGTGCACACTCCCTACAGCGAAAACCTCTCCCCCCTCCAAAAAAAAAAAAAAAAGATTTTGAGTATGTAAGAAAGGTAGTAACATTAGAAAATCCATGAAGTTAAATGGAAATCCTCAAGTCCAGAATCTCAATTAAAATTTCATACAAAATTATGTTGTGTTTTGCAAATAAATACATAAAATGTGTTTTCCTCCTCAGTCCACAGGAACAAAGGCTAGCCCAGTAGCAGGGAGTGTCCAAAGCTCCCAGCTTGGGTCTATAAATATCATTTCCTGTGAAAATGAACCAGGGCTTTTTACTACAACTGAGTGATTCCAGCCTTGGGATAGGGCATGTGTAAGATAACCCTGGGACATCTCATCATAACAAGGGAGTCATCAAAGACTGCTGAGTCATACTAAAAGGACTCAGGAGTCAACTGATCCAAGGTAAACAGAAAATCGGTAGGAATAGTAACTGTGCTGGAGTGAAACACAAAATGTTTTTAGTGGGACCAGCAGTTAACATAATGGCTATGTCACTGGACTCCCATGTGATCGTCCACGGTTCGAGTCCCAGCAATGAGGGCAGTCTCTAGAAGCTAGAAAAAGCAAGGAAACAGATTCTCCTGGAAAGAACCCTTCTGCCATTCTGATTTTAGCACATTGAGTCCTGGGTCAAACTTCTAACATATATAACTATAGATGATAAAATTCAGTTGTTTAAACCACTCAGTCTGTGTTTATACATCACTGGAAAAAAAGAAAACTAATATATCCCATTCCCTAGGATTTATTCTTTCTAGAAAACCGAGCCTGAATCAGATCAAGCTTATTGCTGTAACTATCAAGTTACAGGAAGGTCAGCGGACAAAAGAACTCATTACATGAAATTATAAGAGTGTGAAATCTGAACTCAGGAGAACTCTGATAGAAAAATGATATTTTATTTACCAACTGTGTGTGTGTCTGTGCAAGAAACTGACTTTGAAAATTTTAGGAAATGACCTACTATATAATGTATCAACCAATTGCAGTAGGAAATTCAATTCATATGTAAATTATGAACAGAACACACACACACACACACACACACACGATATTTAGAATGATTGTTATTTTGTGGGGGGGTGTGGAATTGATAATACCGTTATGTTTAAATACAGAGGAGAAGTGTATGTGGGTGTCATAAAGAACAATAGCCGTAAGTTATTTCGAAGATGGGTGATGGGCGCATAGGTGTTTGCTATCTTTTCTTTCTACCTTTGTATTTATTTTAATGTTTTCATAATGAAACAATGATTAAAAAGGGTAGTAACTAATTTGACTTCTTAAATGTCGTGTGAGCCAAGCAAACCCTTGTCCAAAGACTGTATTTTAACTTCTGCAGAGATTTGGAAACAGGATCTTTGATATTAACCTGGAGAATCTTCTCCACATTTCCCACTAACCTCCTGAACCCTTTCTTTCTGTAACTGCCTAGTGAAAAGGGCCCCCTTCATCTGTGCTTGTGAATACCTGTGGGGCATTACTGATTGCTTGGAATAGAATTTTCTCAGAATGAGTGAGGAAAAAAGCTAATCTGCATAATTGCATTGAACTGTGCCTCCTGGTATTGTATGTGTTTGTTTGGATTTCCCCTCATTCCACAGCCTCCAAAAATAAATAAATAAATAAATAAATAAATAAAGGCAATAACTTTGTTTTGATTTTTGACAGCTGGAGGTATTCAACAATTTGGCTAATTATATTTTTCTTGTTATCTGTGTGTGTCTATTTCAGGATGGAATGGGAAACTTGAGGATCACAGAAAAAGGTCTGAAGCTGGAAGGAGACTCAGAATTCTTACAACCTCTCTACGCCAAAGAAATCCAGTCCCGACCAGTAAGTTTCTGCTGATCAGAGAAGGAATTATTGTTCCTCTAGAATCTAAGTCTGAAGAAATATATCTTGCTTTAGTTGTGTATAGAGGATAATATAGGTAATGAGAGAGTAAGATGAATTTGCATTGAAATCTGAGACCTTGAGTAAGCAAGTTAGGTGAACTCCGTGAGCCTCTTTCCTTTCTTGCCAAATCGAGACTAAGAACCTTTATTAACCAATTTCATATATTATGCTATAAATAAGGCAAGGCAATAAATGCAGAAAAGCCTTGAGCACATATATATGCAAGATAATATTGCTATTGTTTTTAACCGTTGAGTGTTTCAAAACCTTCTTTGGTAGTAGTAACTGAACATCTAGAAATTTGTTGTTCATTAGGAATTTGGACTACTTAGCCAGTGTTGGTTAGTCAATTCAGTAGCTGCAACTGTATGAAATAGTCAGCAAAGAGTGTGTGCCCTGTTCCAGGCACAGTACCGCTTGGTATGTAGTATGATTATCTAACTTAACTCACAGCTTGGTCCACAAAGGTGGAGACTATTGCTTCCTCCCTTTTACAGATTAGAGAATTATGGTTTAGAGAAGTGATAGTGCAAAGCCACATAGTTATAAACTAGGAGGGCGAGGATTTCAATTCTGGAATCCCAGTTCTAAAGCCTTCTCTACAAATCACCAACTCCTACCTGACCTTTTCCTTTCATTCTTGTTTCTCTATTTTATCATGGTAATAGTGATTGCTACATACTTTGCTTTTATTAACCAATATTATCAAAATCAGGTTTTCTTTTCGAACATAGTTTTATTTCTTTCATTTTATTTTTTCTTAGTGAGTTGGTGTAATTTTCTGGTTGAAAAAGGATTAACGCATTTGCTTTGCCTGGGATTGATCTGTGTGTCCCTGCCAGCAAGGAATAACATGAAAGTTACTGAAAGCATCATTTGCATTGTGTGCATTGATTAGCATAATTAATGAAATTCAGCAACCTGGTGTAGTGGTTAATTTTATCTGAATGCTATCTAAAGTCTTGAATTGTATTAAACTGCATACAACTGTTGAATTGTCAATACATTTACCTTCTCAGATCCCTAATAAAAGAAGGGAACCAGGATGCAAAATCATCAAAAATAACAGATCAACTCAGCCACACAGTGATTATTCGTTAAATGAATAGAGACTAGCACATTTTAATATAAGTCTCAAGTGTATATTTGTTCTGAAAAAGACCTTATTCTGTTAAAAAGTGAATCACCTATTTTAGGATGTTCTCACCTACCAAAACCTGTGTACAGAATTATGAAATCACCTCTGAGTGAAATTCTTAGAATTTGCCAATGGCATCTGTAACACTGAGGTCTGTAACACCATGGTTAAGTCCATGTGTTGTATTGTTGGGCTTGGGCAGCAACCAGTACTACCACTTGCTAAGTAGGTGATCTTTGAGCAATTTCTTAATCTTTACAGTTGTTTTCTCACTTGTCACAACTGAGATGATTTTAACATCTCCATCACAGGTGGTTGTAACTAAGAGGGATAATGTTTGCTAATGTAGAAGCTGATGTGAAGTGAGTGTCCAACTACCTTCACCCCTTTTTGAAAATGATGATGATGATGATCGTGAGAACAACTATTACTATCATCCTCTAGTCCAAATCTCATCTGATATTTGAACTTCCTCTGAACCAAATTGTCTTTCATCTCTGTTTAAATATCTTTTTTTTAAAAGAATTGTTTATTTAATTTTATTTATTCATTCATTTTAATTTGACCAGAGAGAGACACAGAGACAGAGAGAGGAGGGAAAGTGAGGAAGGAAACCATCAGGTCCTGGACTCAAACTGTGGTTGGCCATGTGGGAGTGTCCAGCGCCTTTAAGGACCATACCACCTGCTGGTCCCTAAATATCTTCTTAATAATAAACTCACTACCCTTGAAAGAAAACCCTTTCATATTTAGTAGCTTTTATTTTAAGGTTTTTGTTTTTTTTTTTCCCTGTTACTAAGGTACAGTTTTCTAATGATCAACTCACTTTTCTCTCATTCTCTTTCTTAAACTTTTTTGCCAAGTCTAACATCCCAGGCTGTCACAGTCCTTCTGGAAAAACAAAACAAAACAAAAAAACAAACAAAAAATAACAGCCTTACAGTATATGTCAAGTACATTAAAAATGTTTACTATACACTTTGATCTCATAACAGTTCTAACTTATTTTTATAACTGTAAAAGGGAAATAAAATATTTAAAGGTCAAAACACATATACCAGTGCTACACAAAGGCCTATGTATTGGTTTGTTTCAAAGTCTGAATTCTACATATAAACTGGAGCTTGTGGGTATCCAAGTTTGTCATTATTTATGAAAGCTGAGAAACTCCTGTATATTCCTTGAAGCTCTGAGCTGGTCACCCTTACTAGGCATTTTTACTTTTGGATCTATCAATGCTTTGTTTTACAGAGGAGTGAATATTTTAAATTCTATTTTGATTCTAGTATGATGTCAATTGAAATTTATTCCACCAGCCTGAATTAGCATGACATATCTAGGCTGGAGATTGAAAGCCTTAAGAACCTAGATCAGTGGCTTCATTCAGTGCTTGGGGTACTAAGGCCCATAAGGGAGTGGGACTTACCAAGTTATACTTCGTTAAACTCAGAACTAAAATCCAGGATCAGCGTGTTTTTCCACAGGGCTATACTATTTAAAAGGCAATTAGTTTCCTCAAGACATGTGTTTATTATGATAAATTAAGTTATACATGGCAGTTTTGCTCTCATAAAGAGTCACTTTCATCAAAGGCATTTTGAGTACCTGAGTGGATTTATAAGTACTAAAAAAAAGGAAGCTGGAAACAACGATAGATAATACAACAAAATTGAACATAATCACGGCTGATCTAATCACTGAGACGATATCCTCTACGTAGTAAATTTCTTGTAAGGGTTAAGTGAAGTAATTTAACTGACTCACATGGTAAATTACTATGTGAACTGTTGATACAAAAGCTTACTACAGAAGTCACCAACTGAATCTAGCCCATAGACACCATTTATCGACTTTGTGCAGTATTTTCCTTTTAATACGTATTTGTTTCTAATATTTAAAATCTGAAGATTTCACATTTTTAAGAAAACTTACATATTAGATCATTGGAAAAATCATGTCCTATTTTTCTATGCAAAAATGTGTCATGACCTTTCCAATGATCCAATATTCTGATTGTCATGGAAGAACAGAAAATCTTGGAGAGAGGTTTGCTATTACTAAGGACTGGAGCTGAGTTGTAGCTTCCTCCTTTAGTTGAGACATTTGTTCTCTGATTTGCCACAGTCTCCACCAGTATCTATTATCTCATATCCAGGTGCTTAACTCATCTCTATTGTATTGTATTAGGGATCCCTGAAGTCTTTTGAAAGTGCAGCTCCTGGTGTATGGAATTATGAATGTATGTGCTGTCGTGCACACATAATGACATTTCTGTCAATGATGGACCACGTAAGAGATAGTGGCCCTAGAAGATTATACCATATATCCCAGTTGTGTAGTAGCTTTGTGAAATTACAATATATGATATTTGCACAATCATTCAATCACCTCCTAACACATTTCTTGGAATGTATGCCTATTGTTAAGTGACAAATGACTGTATCTCATCATATAAGATTCAAAAAATTTTCATGTTGTCCTTAACCATTCATCTGTTATAGGACTCTTAGGTTGATTCCATATCTTGGTTATTGTGAGTAAAGCTGCAATGAACATGGAGGTGCAGATATCTCTTCAACATAGTTATTCTATTTCTGTTGGATACATATCCAGAAGTAGGATTTCTGGATCACATGTTCTATTTTGAATTTAAGAACCTCCATATAATTTTCCATAATGGTTGTTCCAATTTATATTCCTGCCAATAATACATAAGGATATTCTTTTCTATACATCCACATCAACTCTTATTATTTAAGTGTAAAGAGAGACAGAAAGCAAAAAATCTCCCCTGGGGGATGGCCACGCTGCAATCCCTTCTCCTCCATTCTCCTCTCGGGATCTTAGGTATACACACACACACACACACACACACACACACACACACACACACACTCATGCGCCCGGCTGCATTTAAGCCACCAGGTCCAGGACTCAAACCATGGTCAACTACATGAGAGTCCAGCGACATAGCCATTATGCCAACTGCTGGTCCCTCTTATCGTGGCTTTGATTTGCATTCCCATGACTGGTGATATTGAACACATTTTTATATACATTTTGGTCATTCGTATATCTACTTTAGAAAAGTATTAGTTTGGGTCTTTTGCCCATTTTTTTAATCAAGAGTTTTCTTGTTTTTGTAATTGATTGTATGTATTCCTTATGTATTTTGGATAGTAACACCTTATATAATATTTTCTACCATCCTATAGGTTGCCTTTTAAATGTGTTCATAGTTATCTCACTGTGTAGAAACATTTTTGCTTGATGTACTTCTTATTTCTTTATATTTATTTTTGTTACCAGTGTTTTTGGTGTTACATACAAAAAGTCATTGCCAAGACCAGTGTCATGGAGCTTTTCCTCTTTTCCTCTAGTGGAAACAATGATCTCATATCTTACATGTAATTCTTTAATCCATTTTGAGTTGATTTTTGTGTATACTGTAAGAATCCAATTTTAATTATTTTTACACATGAATACCCAATTTTATTGCACCCTTTATTGAAGAGACTTTTTCGCCCTCATGTATTCATGGTGCCATAGTTGACAACTAGTTTACCACATGTTTAGGTTTATATCTGGGCCTTTCCATTTCTTCTGTTGGCCTATGATACTTCTGTTTGCCTTTCTTATGCCAGTATCATGCAGTTTTGATTACTGTAGCTTTGTATATATTTTGAAGTCATAATATATTTTGCTTCCAGGTTTGTTCTTGCTTTTGAAATTGTATGAAGCTCAGTAGCAGGTGGAAGGGGTCTTAAACTTGTGAGGCAATAACCCACTGTTGCCATTC